GGTACTGGGGATACTGGGGGGACACTGGGGGGGCACTGGAGATATCGGGGGACACTGGGAGAGCACTGGAGGGCACTGGGGGAACACTGGGGGGATACTGGGGGAGCACTGGGAATACTGGGGGGTACTGGGGACACTGGGGGTGTCTGTGAGGTCCCAGGGGCTCTGGGGACACCTGAGGGGTCTCGGGGACATTTGGGGGGTGCCAGGACCCCCTGGTGTCCCACCTTGACCTGGAAGAAAGCGTCCTGGGAGCAGAGGCGAATGTCACAGGCCGAGATCAGATCCACACCTGGGAGAGGGGAGCTTCCTCATCATCTTCATCTTCATCCTCACCTTATCCCCATCCTCATCTTCATCTTCATCCTCATCTTCATCCTCATCCCATCATCTTCATCCTCACCTTATCCCCATCCTCATCTTATCTTCATCTCATCTCTTCATCCTCATCCCATCATCTTCATCCTCACCTTATCCCCATCCCATCCTCATCTTCATCTTCATCTCATCCTCATCCCCTCATCTTCATCCTCACCTTATCCCCATCCCATCCTCATCTTCATCCTCGTTCCCATCCCATCCTCATCTTCATCTCATCTTCATCCCATGCCATCCTTACCTTCATCCTCCTCCTCATCCCGTTCTCATCCTCATCATCTTCATCTCATCCTCATCTTCATCCTCATCCCCATCCTGTTCTCATCCTTATCTTCACCTTCATCCTCATCTTCATCCCATCCCCATCTCCACCTTCATCCTCATCTCATTCTCATCCCATCTCATCTTCATCCTCATCTTCATCTCCATCCTCCTCCCCATCCCATCTCATCCTCATCCCATTCTCATCCTCATCCCATCCTCATCCTCACCTTCACCCTCATCTCATCCTCATCTTCATCCGCATTATCATCATCCTCATCCCCATCTCATCTTCATCCTCATCCTCACCTTCATTCTCTTCCTCATTCTGTTCTCATCCTCATCTTCATCCTCATCTCATCCTCATCTTCATCCTCATCCTCATCCCCATCTCATCCTCATCCCCATCCCCACCTTCATCCCCATCCCCACCTTCATCCTCACCTTCATCCTCATCTCATCCTCATCTTCATCCTCATCCTCATCTCATCCTCATCTTCACCTTCACCTTCATCCTCACCTTC